TAATCTCTTGCATTCCGAATCAGGGGGTCATAGTTTACGAATCAGGCTTTTTAGTGTTCGATCCAGGGTTATCCAGGGTTTTTAGTTTCCGAAGTAGCTTGGTTTCCAAATCAGGGTTTTCAGTTTCCGAATTTGTTTTTTTGTTTCTGAATCAGGTTTTTCAGTTTCCGAATCAGTGTTTTTAGTTTCCGAACCAGGGCGTGACCGACTACATGTACCCATTCTAGCCGATGAGCGATGTACGGCTGAAATGCTTCTGCAGAACCCCATTTTCAAAGTCTAACAAAAAAGCCCAAAGTGTAGACTTTTTGGGCTGAAATAGGGTCACAGTTGTAGGGATGGGGCCCTGCAGCCGCCATCCCTGTAATTGTCGGTCCATGCAGTGGATGGGTCTGCTTCTGGCCGAGGCTCAGGCAGATGGAAGATTAGGAGGCGTCCCCCCCTGGCATTTCTCCTGCTGCTGACTAGCAAAGATAAGGCCGGTCTCTTTCCCCTAGCAGACTCCAACATGTCTGATCTCATACCAGCTAATGACCTGCCGCTTTACCACATACTCCTTCATGACGGCAATTTTTCGCAGAGTTTGCAAGGAAATGTCCTGGAGGCTAAAGAAAATAAAGAAAGCTGAGGAAAGCCAAAGGGTAACAAAAAACAAGCAATGCTAAGTTTTTCCTACATGCATTTGATGCAGATGATCTGTTGTGAGGCTTAGTGTCCACGGGTTCAGGTCTCAAGTGTGTTGCGCATTTGGGGCCGGGGCCCATCTATCTCATCATTCCTAGAAAATCCTGGAAAATCTTAAGTTCAGGGCCTGGCCACAGAACAACAGCAGTGGCAATTTCCGTGGAAATTCCTAGAAAACATAGAAAAATCAGAAACCGTTTAACAACTCCTAGCTTTAGGGTGTAATTTGTCTAGTGTCTAAAATTGTCACCCAAAAATGTTTGAAGGATTGATCTAGTCCCTTCATTGGTCCTTCGTTCATTAGAGAAGGAAGCTTTGAAGAAGAAAACCTAAGATGATTCAGTCTTGGAGCAAGGAAAGGAGAGAGCAGAGAGAAGAAGAGAAAGGAGAGGAAAAAGGAAGGCCGGGAGAGGGGGAGGGCAGAGATCCTTGAAAATTCCGCAAATCGTGACGCGCTTTCTAATCTATGGTAGCGACGTGCCGCGTGTTTGCATGAGCCATCGTGGCCCCTATCAGGTTTGCCCTGACATGGTTCGCACCACAGCATACAACAACTGTTGCTGTGGTAGACGAAGGCTCGGATGTTGAGCAAAACTCTTGGACAGGAAGGAACCACCTTGACCCGGCCCCCTCATGCTGGCGTCAATGGATTTCAGGAGACCCAATGGGGGTATTTGCTAATGGCGGTTGAGCTTGAAGCGTTGGTTGTTCGATGTTCCGCGCTCAACGCACAGTCGCTTGTACGTGAGCTTCTGGGAGGGCTAGATTTGCAAGCCAGTTCAGGGCACGGTAGCTCATTGTGCCCACTTGCCCCATTTGATCTGGTATGTGGCTGTGAAACCGACTCCTGCCACATGCCCCACTAACCCCACTTGCGCATGTCTCACCCGTGCCCCGTTGACTTTGAAGGAGCCTTGTGGCAGACCCGATGGGTAAAGGGCCGCTCGTGTAATCCTGCATGCCCGACCTAGGTTGCGGTTCTTTCTACAATCTCTACAAATTACCTTCCTGAAACGACGTCACCCTCAAGCTGTATCGAGTTTGAGGGAAACCTCGGGCAGTCAGGTAAAGCCGCAAGGCGGCAAAGGGACGCAGCATAATGGCCCATATTATTAATGGGTGTTCTTGCCCCACTTGATTCCCAGTCGTCCCATTTGCGGCCCAGTCGCCCACCTGCGCTCCACTTGGTTCCCACCCGGGCTCGCAATGTGCCATTTACCAACATGCATGACCTGACCTGACAAAAAGATCAACCGAGCATCTATTGCTAGCCTATGCTAGCCTTATACTGGGTCTTTCCTACGCCGATTTTTTTTGCTTTAGGCCGCATCAAGCTCAGGAGCGGGCGGCTTCCCTCCCATTGCTGGCCTGGTAAACCTGAAGGTTTCTGCCGGATCTGATGATAAGTATTATATGGCCGGGGTGACAAGTGCGTTTGGTGGTTTGGCGTCTTGAAGGTTTCCGTTTTCGGGGCCTGCCTGTTAAGGGTTTCTTTGGATCGATTGAAGCACGCGTCCTTTGTAAACTTGGGTTCTGATAATGTCGGTCTCTGTACTGATTGTTCTGATTCCCACATGGATAGTAACTTCAACTGTGACGTGAATCCGATGGCCACAACCAAAGAATCGACTAGGCCTACATCCCATCTGATTAGCAAACACGCCCAAGATGTCTTGAGCTTGCTGGAGGGGAGAGCGCATTTTTGGGAAGGTATGATAATCTGATAAGGTATGTACTCCCACTTGAAATTCATGATGCTGAAAGTTCCGCACAGAAGTGTCACTTGCTGTTGAAATCAAGTTTGACAAAACTCATGGCTTAGATAAAAGTGGAATCTTCCCACTCCAGAGCGCTCATGCCAAAAGACAAGGTCCGATTTGCGTATGTAACAAGCATTGCCCTTTTGCGTGATAAGAATGCATGGGCTAATGCATCTGGTGGAGACATCGAGCGTAAAGCCGACTAGGTTGTTGACAATTCGCAGGCTGCATGTTGAGAAGATGAGCAGACAATTAAAACAACTTACTGTGACTTCGAGCAGACATCGGAGGCTCGTAGTGGGGCTTATGTTGACATGTGGAGCATGCTGAAGCCCTTGACCATTCCAGAACCCATGCCGAATCTTAATGTAGGAGTGCTCGGCATCAGGCGTGTCCAACGCCCAAATGTTCTGGAATCGCTCTGACAACGTCTCTGGCTTTCTCGGCATACCTCGTACCCTTGGCAGCGTAGTAGTCCATGCACAGGGATTAGGCATTTGTTTGATTTCAGCGCCTGTCCATGCTTGAGGGAGGCAGGCGGCCTCGAAAAGTGGAGGCAATGCATCTGTGGATGTCTCGGACTCAGCGGTGTTTTGGAATTTGCGGGCGGGATGACCAATGGCTGTGCCGGCCTCTGCCCGCTTATTTACCACTCTGACAGCTGGGGTGTGACCAATTCTTTGCTAAGGGATGCTGTTGGCAACTCATGCGAAGGAGACTTCAGGTTCAAACTACCGCGTTGATTTCCTGAGGCAGTGAGATGGTAACAGTCCATTGTGCCACCAGTCGCTCTGAGTATCCGATGTTGACAGAGAATCTCTCCAGCGTTACAAGCACGAACTTGAGGTTAGATTCATGACCATTTTCCCGCAAACAAAGCTGTGGATATCCACGTGTCTTCCACCGCTGACAAAAGCAAAGGCAACATGACGGCATTCCCACGCAAGCTGCAGGAGGCCCAAGGGAGCTCAGTGGTATCAAGGTTTCGGTGTACAAGCTTGTCATGGCTTAGCCTTGAGGACAGCGCGGGTAGGGACTTTTTGTTACAAAATTTTCCTGGTCAGGACAGGCTTAATTCTCGCAAGAGCAGGACTGACAAGAAGGGTCTTGTCAAAGCACTAGATTCTACTAGAGCATTAGATTACCTGCAAGCAGGATATTAGAGTACAGATATGAGAGTGATTTGATCTTGCTTTTTGAATGAGTTGTCCATGCTTGAATGTGCTGCGCTGTAACTGGCTGAGATTTGTTGTGACATTTGTTCACCAGATTCCGGTGAGCATGATAGCAGTGTCAGCATAGGGCCTGAAAGATGGCACCGGGTCCATCGGATGGGATGGCTGGGGCGGTGGCCCGGGTCGTGGGTGGTGCTTGTCAGTATTTGTATTTCTGTGCTTCTTATGGCAGCGGTGCGCCTGGCCGCAAGATCGGGCTGCCGGCGCTGGAGTGCTGGAATCAGTGCTGCTGGTGCTGGCCATGGTGGCGTTGGAGGTTGATGTCGCCGCTGCTGCTGATGATGCGCCTGGCGTTGCAGCGACACTTCTGGCTTATAGCCCTGATAGGCCATGTGAAGTATAGGTGGTCTCCAAGGCGTCGAATGCTGAGGCGTAGCTTCACACCCCGAGGCCAAGTCGCTTCAAGCAGGAGCATCCACATGCTTTCTATGACATACTCCCAGTACAGGCATGGACTTCGCACCAGGAATTCTAGTTTGTTCGAGCTGCCAACTCACGACAGGCATGTTTGAAAAGCATGGATATTGCGGCAACCTTTTCTGGAATTTTGCCGACTTCAAAAGCAGGAGCATGCCCCATCAGGGGTGAGGTGCATCATGATAGAAAAAGTAGAGTAAAGAGCAGCTGATGCATCCTGGACTTGCAAACAACGTAGTTAAACTCTTTTTTCATCACGGTTTGCGCGGAGAGGTCCATTAGATGCTAAGCTAGGAGCATTGGGTATCAGTGGGAATGCTTGAAGCCATGCGCAGGTTGGATATGCAACTCACTATGTGGGCAAGTGGGACGCAGGCTATGCAACCCCAGATCCTCGGCCGATTCCGCTGCCGCATCCGCCATTGGCCATATGAAGCAGAATGTCGTTTGAGACATAAGTTATGATGACACCTTGGGGGCCCGTCAATGTCCAAAGTGCAAGGCTGAAACCTGAAGTCGATTGCGGCCGCAGAACCCAAACGGCAAGGCCCTTCCTGCAATTAAGGAACACACACCGCTGGGAAGAGGCTATGACAGCTTCTTGGGTTTTCTGCAAGGAGGAATTGATGCCTGGACCAAAGGCCATGGCAAGGCACGCCATCTAAGGGGGGGGGGGGGGGGGNNTTCGGGGTATGGAGAGCTAGGTAGACTTTTGGGAGCAATAACTACTACTGTTTAGTATGCATTCATTGCATCGACTCTCCGCTGACTGCTTACCTGCGAGCCCCAGGCAGAAGCAGAAAGCAGATTGAAAAAATGAAGGTCGACTAAGGACTCACGCATGTCAAACTTCCTGCGGCTGCAATTGGATGGTGGGCGGGGAGGCTACGTAAGTTAGCTTGGAAGCCAAAGTAGGTGTTTGAGAGAACATTTCTTCCTAGCATTTTCTGAAAATTGCGTATGTTTCGACTGATGAAGTTGTTGTTTGATACATCCGGTGCCCTTATTTGCGCTGGAGATTATCTTTTTGCATTCCAGTGTTTGCGGGGGCGGGGGGGGTTGTTCCAAAGTTATTCTGGCCAAGCGGGAAAATTGCATCGGGCATTTCCGTAACCAGAAACAGGCCTTTGTGGAAGGCTTCGGGTCTGAATTGACGCGGATGCGGGAAATTTGCGCGGTGCTGATGACAAACAATTGTGACAGGGCTGACATGGTTTCCCTGCGTGGTCNNTTCGAGCATCCCCACCCTAAAGCCCGTTATTGCACCAAATGTAATATTTCCCTGGCCCCCCCCGCTCCCCCTAAATTGTCTTCCTTGCACCACTGCAAATGCACTGCAAGAAAGTTGCAGTTTGGCACTGCAGGGGCAATTGCTGTGGAATTCGGCATTGCAAGGGCTGGGCACGACAAGGACATTTTGGCATTGAGCACTGCAGAGATACTTGGGTTGAGCACTGCAGGGATACTCTGAGGTTGGGCACTGCAGGGATACTCTGCGGTTGGGCACTGCAGGAATACTTTGCGGTTGGGCACTGCAGGGATACATTGCCATTGAGCACTGCAGTCAGGCCTCGCGCGGAGGGCGAGGACGGCATAGACTTTAAAGCTAACAACCCCACTGTGAGGGTGGGGAATAAGCCATTCAACAAAGCCTCTGCATAGTTTCATCTTCTTTTTCTGTGAGGTCACCCTATCCCGTACAGGGCTGTAAACTCGCAATGTGCGGAATTGAGCTGAGGATCATGTGAGGGTGGGGATTGCGAGTGGAACGTGCTTCTGCAGTATTCTGCACGCTGCCATCAGACAACAGCACCGCACATGCTTGTGGGAGTCGCAGCAATGTCATCGCGTAAGCTCTCAGCTTGAGACAGGCAGCAAGTGCTCTACATTCCCAGACTTGGTTCGCTTAGCCCAAACACGCCATGACATGCCCAAACCACTGGACCAGAAACCTTTCTGCACCCAAGGCCATGGACTTGCAACAGGCAACATAAGCAACGCAGCCCGGCGCAAGCTGGCACCTAGAACCTGCACCATCAGCCGCGAACCTGAAGTCTCAAATCCTAAACCTAAGTTACTACATGCCTGTGCCCGAACATGGTCCTGACATTGGAGGTGACCGATGATGTGGTTTTGGATGTTTGTTTGAACAAGTTCCGTGACTTCTCGCTCTACAATGCCTCATACCGCGCCCGTGTGGGTCATCAGGTGGGATGGCGGCGAGATTGTTTGACTGGGGTCGGGCAAAGCATGCAGCGTTTTGTTCGAAAAAAGGGTGGACATTTTCACCCTAGAGGCTAATTAGCTTGAACACGACAAATCCAAACAAATATTGGTAGTTGTGATCTTGTTTGAAATGCTGCAGTTTGCACAGAGCTTGCTACAAGATCTGTCCCAGACAAGTACAGCTACAGCCTGCATGTCAGGCTTGAAAGCTTAGGTCAAACATTGGAAGCACATGCCTTCTCCAGGTTCTTAGGATGTGGGAGGCAAGTTGCTCAAATTGAAGAATTCAATTGGGCAGTCTTGAGAGGCCCTTGTGTTGAGTGTTTCCGAGAAGATCTAGAGGCAGCTGCATGTGTTTCTTTTTCGAAAAACGTTACATCAGCCATAGAGCGCGACTGCCCTCCGCAACTTGCATGAGCAGCTAGCCGTCTTCCAGCCAGCAGCGGGATGGTCAGGCGTCCGAACCAACCCGAAGACCTGAAGCTGAACCACATATATTCAGGTAAGAAGCCCGGCAAAGGCTCTGCAACATTGAATTTTCTTGAGGTGGCCAGGGAACTGGGCTGCAACGTCCGCGCCTCTTTGGGCAAGCCGCTGTTCGTCAATGCCACTGGCTGTCTGGACAGCAACATCTCCCTCTGCTGGCCGGAGAGCTGCTATGCAGATGAGATGCTCCTGATCTCAAGGATAAAATCAGGGATCAGTTCTGAAGATATGATCAGAGAATCCGCTACCGATGTTCCTCGATGTGTTGTCGTCATAGTTAGTTTTGGCGGCCTCTTCTGGTGTCAGGTTGATGGTATTCGTATAGGTGACCTGGCATAGCACAGGCACGAGTAGCAACTGAACTGCTAAGTAGACTGTATGAAGTTCACACATGTGCGGTGGCGGATGAATTGTTGGAAATTTCGGAAGAAGGTGCCTCCGGGCAGAGGCACCATGGTTTTTGGAGTAACGTGGAGGGCCCTTTTTCTGAAGAGCGCGGGCTGGGCGCCTTGTCTGGATTTTCTGATGGGTGTGGGAGGCCGTGATGCCCCAACTTGCCCCCACACCGAGAGCTTGTTGTCTAGCTCTCCCTTGCCTCCCCCCGGGGTAAAGTCTCAGCGGGTAAGCTAACCACCTGAAAAGCCATCTCAGCCGGACGGACTGGTGCCACTCAGCCTTGATTTCTTTGGCCCGCGGAGTGCAGGATTCAGTTGCATTTTCCTACACCATGGTCGATGACGCACGGACTGCACACAAAAAGTTATTGAGCGGATGTTTCTAAGTATCTCGCCGCCGCTTGACACCTCCACCTCCACCAAGGCAGCGGCCTTCGTATCAGCATTGCAAAAGGCCCGTTCGGCTTCAAGCTCCGGCCATACAGTAACAGATATCAATCTGTGGCTGCATGTGCTCGCGGAGTCTCATGAGGCTGCAGAGCCTCCGCGATAGAATCTCCTGGTCTGATTCTGATACACGTTTTCATATGAGGGATATGCGCCCTTGAAATAAAGCCACGTGTCAGCCTGGGCAAGATCTGCTGGAGGAATCTCGCCATGCCAGCCGTGGTCACGGCACTCTGAACGCGGATTTCCTTATCAGTGCCCTCCGGGAGTCTGTTCACAATGTCCCAGCAGTCTCCCCGATTCCTGTGTCGCTAGTAGCGGCCGCATTACCCTGTAGGATGCCTGGTTCGAATCAAGTAATGTCAATGCCGAACATCTATGATCCTGGGCGAATAGCTTTGTGCATGCACTCCATATGATGCCTTCCTGACTAATGTGCCATGATAGCATATGCATTGCTTCTTCGGTCCCCTGTGTTCTGCTGCATTCTAGCATATAGGGAGCTTAGAAAATGCTATGCAGCGGACCTGGAGCTGCATCCACAGGGCCAGGATTTCCTAAGGCTCTGGGGATTGAAAGTCTGCCCTGCGCTCCCTTTGTTTCTTTTTTGACACTCCGCAATGATCTTGTCAGGGGTGAGCAACCAACCCACCACCTTACATCACTGCAAAATGTCACATCCAGATGATGAGCATATTCTCGACAGACTCTGCTGGGCGATGGTCTTGCCCTGTAGGATCTCCACCTCGAAGTCAGCCTTGACCTCTTCCCAGCCAGGATCACACCTCTCCTGCATGTATGCTTTGCTACTCCCACTCTCTGTCGTTCCTGGAGTTCGAAGAGTAGGAGCGAAGATTAGGAGGGGGACTGACGCGTTGTCGAGTTGCTCAAGCACTTGGGAGTGAGCCTGGTCCTACTCTGGCTCTTCGTCCCCACAGCTTCGATCATGCACAGCTTCGCCTAGCAAAAGCACAAATCTGCCGACTGGAGGCTTGTATTCTGTACTGTGCAGCATTCGCCAGGTCTAGGAGCACACTTTTTGAAGCAAGTCCTATCAAGAGCCACGCATCCGTGACTTGTGATGAGTCGTCCGACCCGAGCCCAGGCCGAAATCAGGGTTTTTTGAGCAGCTTTGCATTACTTTTTGGCATCGCTCAGTCAGAGAACGGACACCAAAATCAGGGTCACGTTGATGTCAAAGTTGTGGCTTTTGCTGCCCCCTTACGTGTGTACTTTGCAACAATGACCAATTGCCTGGAGATACCTGGAGCATACTAGTGCTTGAGACATGCCTGCACAAACGCAACTTTGAAGAACTTTCTACTGCCCTGAAGACATGTACACTGGCGAAGTAGTAATGCATGGTCCAGTCATGGTCCCAGCGGAGCAAGTTGAACATGCTGCAGTTATTCGCGCGCTAAGACACGAGTTAGGTTAAGCTTAAGACTTAAGCCTTGCAGTAGCCAACCTCGATTTGCTTGGCAGAGGGCCCATCGAGGTGTGACCCACTTTGACATTGTTGGCATTCCATGGTTCGGATTGAGGCACAAATTTGTGCAGCTAGGTCCACGGTGCGTATTCCGTCGTGGTTCGAAAGCCACTCGAGGTCCAAGAGAAATGCAGACAGGAGGCGGATCGCTTGGAAATTATAAGTATTTTTAGCATACCATAAGATGAAGCATGGAAATCCCCAAGCGAACAACGTCGTCGTTAGGACGGAGTGCTTCGCTGTGCTCACAGATTGTCAGAGCCGTCCTTCGAGGGCCCGCAAGAACCCCTGGGAACATGAACGAAATTATGGTTTGGGCATGGATGCACTGGCTACCATATGCTCTTGGTTTGGGCATGGATGCGCTGGTTACCCTCTGCTCTTGGAACACGAACGGATTAATGGTTTGGGCATGGATGCACTGGTTACTGGCTGCTCTTGGAACACGAACGGATTTTTGGTTTGGGCATGGATGCACTGGTTGCCGTACGCTCTTGGAGCACGAACGGAATTATGGTCTGCGCATGGATGCGCTGGTTACCGTATGCTCTTGGAACGCGAACGGATTTATGGTTTGGGCATGGATGCACTGGTTACTGGCTACGTATGCTTTTGGAACACGAACGGAATTATGGTTTGAGCATGGACGCACTGGTTACCGTATGCTCTTGGAACACGAATGGAATTATGGTTTGGGCATGAACGCACTGGTTACCGTATGCTCTCGGAACACGAACGGAATTATGGTTTGGGCGTCGATGCACTGGTTACCGTATGCTCTTGGAACACGAACGGAAATCTGGTTTGGGCGTGGATGCACTGCTTACCGTATGCTCTTGGAACACGAACGGAATTATATGGTTTGGGCATGGATGCACTGGTTAACGGTTATCGTATGCTCTTGGAACACGAACGGAATTATGGTTTGAGCATGGACGCACTGGTTACCGTATGCTCTTGGAACACGAACGGAATTATGTTTGGGCATGGATGCGCTGGTTACCGTATGCTTGAAACACGAACGAAATTCCCACCGCACCTCACGAAAACCCCCTGCATACCCCGCATGTAGGGTTTGTACCACGGCGGAACATGAACCGTGCACCAACTACATGTCTCTGTTGCTGCTGCTTGATGCTTTCGCACAGTCGTGCGGTGCCATGGTGCCAGTCGAATAGTAGGATCGAAGAGTTGGAACTGCAAGAAGCAGGCTACTGGGCAGAGGAATTTCAGAATCAGAATCTAGGTGTTGTGCGATCGGATCCAAGGTGCTAAGCCATTTTGCCAGCCAGGAAAAAGATCAAGAACTAAGAAACCCTGCGGCAAGAGCTGCGAATGGAACGTCATCATTGCATGTTTTTGTTGCGTAACACACCCCCCGAAGGCAGATCCCATCGAAGGATAGGGAGGAGAGCTCCACGCGTTGGCCATCTGAAAAACGCAACGAGGAATACACAAACTTTGTTTGGATCCTCCTCCTTCTTGCGCCTGACCGCGGCTACCCGAATGTGAGCTTCTTTTGATAAAGGAACTGTCGCGAATGTCAGCGTCAGGTACAACAAGCATGAGAAGACAAGATTTAGTGTCGAGAAGCTTGCAGCAAAATTGGTGATGATGGCGATTCCGAATTCTGTTTTCCAATATGACCTTTGTCGAAGTCCGGAAACCACTCCTATCACTTGCAGTGAAAAGTCTGTTTCCAAGCCTTGTTGTCCCCAGGAAGCAAGGTCATGAATGCGCAATTTCCACTGCAACGGCAAAGAGAAACGCCGAGAGGCGTTCAAGACAAAATGTCAACAACAGGATACAACAGGATGTATTTCGGGACGCAGGCAGCCAGAGCTGTGATCCAAGAAGGTTTGGAAATTTGACCCAGGCATGCGATCGCAGAATTGCAGGTGCTCGCTAATTTCAGATCATTCACTCCACGCTCAAGCCTGTATTTGCAACCTGCTCGTCAAACATGTTGCCAGCCCCAATCCACGTTGTCTAATGATCCACAGGGTTGCTACCAGCAAGCCTGGCGCTACATGCCAACAGCAGAGGCTATTGAAGTACGCTGCGAAGATTATCCGCACGCATGACTCCAAGAAACAGCTGTTTCTCACATATGCGTCGCGCTCGGTATCCTGGCTCCCAAGAGCAATTGTTTTGATTGCCATTTTCTGGTGAACACACAGACATGGCAGCGAATTCCACCCCATGGCAAAATTCTGTTCACAAGCTCGAGCCCTTGCAGACTCACCGTTTCTGTCCGCCAGGTCCACTCTGCAATGGAAGTGCCAGCCGCTTACATGCAAAGGTTGGATGACATGGTTGCGCAGACAGGAGTGGCAAGAGCACTCCCGTGGACGTTGCAGCGCAAAGAGATGGCTGCCGCTCGTCTACCGTTTGGTTGAATTGTTCTTTTTCCGGTTCGGTGGATGGCATTAATCGCAGGCCAGAGGTTGGGCTTATGAGGGCGACGAAACCACGAATTCCCGCCAACACCCAACATGATCATCAACCCCTTGAACAATCCTGGCTGTTGAAAGCTAGGGGCTTGGTCTCCTGGACTAGACGCAGAATTCCTTAATATGGCCAGAGTATGCAGTCTCGTCAGAGTCTGTGGCACTCAAGGGCTTTCCGCAAGGAGCATTGAATTGGTTTATTGTTGATTACAGTCGTCTCAAACTTTGCATGGCCCATGCGTTGAGGCTCTGCAGCTGCACATGGACACCGTGCTCGGCAAGCTTATACTGGCCTTCAAAGACAAGGGCATGTATGACCCTTTGCTTCTGTGGAGAAGTACTGAACATTTCGAGCTCATACCCCCAAGTCCTACACCCAAAGCCTTAATCTCAGACTATTCAAACTCATGTTTTTTCTAGGGTGCTGGCCGACACAGGACAACCTCCTGATCGTCTACCTCTCAGACAACGGTGGCGGAGTTAATCTATACGAGACTATGCTGCTATCGAACATGGCCAGGCAGCGCATGAAGCATGGATTCACCGGTCTCAACTAAGGAAAACGGAAACAATTATCCGCTCAAGTCTGGCAAGTACACAGACTGGGAAGGACACTGACAGAAAAGATATTAAAAGATGTAAATTGCCCCGGAGCCTGCGGCCCAGACCCTAAAGGCCCCTAATGCTGAACGCCATCCAACTGGGGAGGAGGCGTGCGCACCAACGCCTTCATTGGAGGTGGAGCGGTTCCTGTGGAAAAGCGTGGGAGTACCTTCAATGGCAGTTCGGCAGCATGCCCAACACAATTGATAGCTGCAAATCAAGGCATGACATGCATGTTGTGCCTGAGGCTTCCAGTTTGTTGCATCTTCATGCCTCGCAAAAACATTGAAAGACTTCAAGGCGTCATTCACATTTCCGACTGGTACGCCACACTGTGCACGCTTGCGGGGGCCGACTACGTCGACCATGCAGCAGAGGAGGCAAACAAGATCCTGCGGGCTCAACAGTTGCCATTGCTGGCACCAGTGGTTTCTAGGCGAAATATGTATAGAGTAGGAAATCTTGATATGGGTCACTGTTTGAGATGCACGTTTGATATGAGCATTGACTGCTTCCAACAGTCACTCATTTTGCACCTCTTCAACCTCAAATCCTAGATGTTGCCACTACTAGGTTCCACCTCTACCCAGCATCACGCCTGAAAATCCACAGGCGTTACACTCGCATCCCGAAACACGCCACAAGTTGGGTGCCGATGATTTCAGAGTTGGGATGCTTGGGGTCTCGGTGCAGGTGTTTGACCAGGTGCAATTTGCAAACCTCAAGCCTATGCCATCTTCAAACCTGTCGCTGGGCCCGTGCCCCCTTGTGTCGCGACCTCCAAGATCAAACAAGGACAGCCGACCACAATGGCAGCACATCATGCTTGGAACCTCGGTAGTCATTGCGCTGACTGCTGGATGCCGCGTCTGGTTTGCCTTAGATTGTCTATAGACAAGAGGTTCTTGATGGCTATGTGACGGCGTGCCCACACCGAATCATTGGAACTGACTCTGAAGTAAACTTGGGGAGTGACTTTTTTATTGTGAGGTTTACTGGGGACCGGGAAACGCAGGGCTGGTGTAGACTGTGGCGCGGGATGTTGGGGGGGGGAGAGTTAGTTTCAGTCCTGTTGCTTTGCTATCAGTCCATGTACAGCTCATGTGACACAACTGCATGTCTGTTGTGCTCGCTCTCAAGGTTTCAGGGATTCTATACTCGAGTAGCGCCTAGAAGGAAAAGAGACACCCGCTCGCCTGCTTACTGTGCTCCTTAGGAGAGGTAGTGCACGCTCGGGTCAATCTCAGGGGGGGTGGTATTGGCTACCGGTAAAAAATGCCGAGCTTGACTGTGAAGAAGGTGTACTCGGGGACGCTAAAGGAGTAGCATTCCACCCTAAGTACTGGAAGCTTGAAGCCGAGGTCCAGCCCGAAACCCAAGACCTTAAAACCCAAGCCCCAAGCACGCTACACCCGCAACACCACAAGCCCCAGGACTCTAAACCCTAGCAGCCTAAAGCTAAAAAAACTGAAAACCCCCAAAGCCCAAATGCCAAAACACCCTGAAAGGGGTAACGTTTCATCCTGAACACCCTGAACCTTCTCACTGCGCCCCTGAGCCTCAAATTCCCTAAGGCCTCGAAAGCATTTTGAAAAAGGAGAGGGGTGCCAACCCCCAGCCTAGCCCAAATCCTGACCTTGAACCCACACGAACCCTACAAAGCCTGAACGCCCTAATTAAAGCCCAAGATCTCCAAAGATCTTAAATCCTTAAAATCAGCGGGGAGGGGGGGGGGGAGAATCGAGTTGGGGGGTGGTAGCCCGAAGCCTTGAAATTTACCCTAAAACCAGTGGGGTGGCCTGAAAGCCTTAATGGGGGGATGGGCGGGTTGGAAAGCCCATTTGCCATGAGCGATGAAACGCCTCCCCGACGAGTATGATGGGGCGCAGATGAGAATTTCTTGTTTTGTGTAATGTGTTAGCAAGGACGACGTCAAACATGGGGGGCAGTGACATATTTGTGGATTTAAGACGCTGGTAGGGACACTTTTTGTTGAGCTCCATGGTCGCAGTTGATGCCATGTCGATGTACGTCGGTTTTGCAGCCGGCGCGGCGAATCCATCAATTTGCGCAGGCGTGGTGACATTTGATTGTGGGTGACTGACGAAATGGAGTTTGTCGGGGCCCAACACTTTTTTTTGTGTGTTAAAGGTGTTGCGGTAGGCAAGGAGAATCTGTTGATGGCCGCAGCCGGCGGTATTTATGAGAGCGAAATTGATCCCTTGATGACTGTAGGATGTGCTGCGGTGCGAAATTTTTCTGAGGTAATTAATGTTTGAAACTCAAGTCCAAAATAGAAACAGCTTTACCCCTACGGCTTCAAGTTTCTAGCTTCAGGAACTAACGGGCGCGAGGACACGTTGCACCTTAGCAGCAAGGCTCCTTGGTCCAGTTGGACATGGTCTGTTTACTGAATCATGATGATGGAACATTGAGGCCTCAGGCGCTGCGCACTAGGGCTGCGCAGAAGCTGTCATAGGAGCTTATGTAATTGCAGGGAACGGATCGAAGTTCTGGTACGGCTACTACTGCTACTGCTACTACCACCTATTGCTATTTCTAGTATTATTACTTGTATTCCTCCTCCTACTACTGCTACTACTACCACTGCTACTGCTACTGCTACTGCTACTGCTACTACTACTACTACTACTACTACTACGCCTGCTACTACTACTACTACTACTACTACTGCTACTACTACTACGACTAGTACTACTACGACTACTACTACTACTACTACTACTATACTACTACTACTGCTAGTATTACTCCGACTACTACTACTACTACTTGTAAGTGTGCATGAGTGCATCAGACTGCTGTGC